CACACACACACGCATCATTTATCTCTCTGCCTATCTTTCTCACACAAATGCCTACAAGCACACACACATAATCAGAATAATAAAGCTTACTAACATGTATGTTGATCTCAGAGGTATGAACCATATAAACTAAGCTAATTAAATCTAGTATTGTCACTCACGTTAGCTTGGTACTAATCAACGGAAGTCAGACTCTAAAAAGTGTCATAATCCTTCTTTTCTAGATGATGTACATTTTAAACAATAGCTTGGGAGACGCTTTCCCAGGTTGAAACCGTTTCGGCGACTTCCTAATATGAACTAGATAGCTCTCTTGCCTTCTAATCATACACAGTACACAAACAAAGCCATCGAAAAGGTGGAAATAAACCTATAGCTTTTAGAAAAACTGGGCAAGCCTAAAGAACTGAGTAAGGTACAAGGGAACATGAGAGGTAATATGAGCTCCTGTTTTCATATTACCAGTTGTAGTACTTGGGCAAGTAAAGCAACTTTTTTAAACCATTATTATTAGAAACTAAGCTTTTCACTCTAAGAGAGAAAAAGATACAAACATAAAACAAAAGAAAGAAAATTCGTAGTAATGTTAAATCTGAATTGGAACCATCCATGTGAACTACACACACACACACACACACACACACACACACACATTTATTTTTCTTGGCTCTATGCACTGAAGCAGTGGTATCCAAGTAGTAATAAATTTACCAGGTCTTGGTTTCTAATATCATTACCTACTAAAAAAAACCCACATCTTCTTTGAATGATTGATTCTAGGTCTGGGGCAGGAAAAAAGGACAAGTGAACTTTGAATGATTGATTCTAGGTCTGGGGCAGGAAAAAAGTGCTGTACCAGAAGGACTAATGACGCCATGCTACAAAGGGCTTAAGGGTGTCCACTGGCAAACTTTGAGGTAATTTGGGCATCAAAAAATATACAATCATGATGGATTACAACATACTGAAAAAAGATATCTATCAGACAACAGTGATCTCATAATTGGGCATGGAGAGGGGAAAGAGAACAAAAGAAGAGGGAAAAAGCAAAAGCTCTTCTTTACATAAGAATGCCAGCTATTAAATGTACAAGAAATAATAAAATTAAAATTCCATCGTTTTGCAATCCTCAATATAAGTGATTTAGGAAAGAGTCATCAATGAATACTAAAACCACTCAGTGAAAAGCAGTTGGGAAATAGTTCACAGTCTCAAAGCATCACCCTGCAGATTACTACTAAATTCAAGGAAGAAAATCAATCTTTGTAATGGGAGAGATCTGGCAGTCATCTTTAACCAAGTAATTAAAGGTATCACCAATAATAGAACAACTTACATTATATGCCTCCAATTTGGTGCAATAATAAGTATACAACTTTTTCTATGAATAGAGTAATCATATAATGTATCAGCTAAACAGCTTCATTTCTGAGAGTAAAAGGGAATGCTATTAATAAATATACCAAAACAATAGATATAAACTGGAATTGTCATGGACAACCCTGGATTTATCTTTGTTTATAAGTATCCTTACAAAAATATTTAAACTGAATCTAATCATGATGAAACATTCAGACAATTGACCTATCTTCTCTACACCAGTCTAAGTCACGAAAAACAAAAACAGAGAACTGTTCTACATTAAGAGACTAAAGAGATAGCATAACCAAATGAAATGTGAGTTTACATGCTACATTAGAGGAAAAAAAGCTACAAAAGATATTTTTGGGTCAATTAGGGAAGTGAATTTGGACTGAATATTAGACATGACAGAACTTTTATTTTCTCAGAGTGATAATAGTATTGCGATTATGCAATTATTCTTAAAAGATGTATATACACTTAGGTATTTAAGGGTGAAGTGTTTTAAAGCCTGCAACTTCCTTTTAAATGGTTCAAACAAACAAACAACAACAACAACAACAAAATATATCTATATATATATATAGATATATATCTAAGTATACAATAGGGAAAGAGAAATAAAGCAAATGTGGCGAAATGTATGGATAGTCAATGCATCCTGTCTTCTAATATATCTGTAGGTTTGAAGTTTTATGAAATGAAAGTTGGGGGAAGGAACAATGCAAAAAAAAAAAATGTCTTTTTACCTTGAAGTCTCTCGTCGGTGAATATTTTGTTTGTTTGGTTCCAGGTGCTATCTATAAATATAATTCTTTTCAGTGTTGTCACTTTGCACTTGCTGTCCTTCAAATCCTGCTCTTCAGTTTTCTTGCGTTTAATAGATGGTTTGTCAGCGTCATCATTTTTGCTTCTAACATTATTTTGAATCCTTTTTTGCAGATGAAAAGAAATATCTTTTATTGAGACAGACTTAGGTCCAGGGAAAACAAGTGCAACCTAAAGCAAAGAAACTTAAGTTAATAGTGTGCTAATATGATCTTCAAAATGAATAAATTCTGAGTGACTCAAAATTTTAAGAGAAAAAATATATATGTTGATTTTTCTGAGAAACAAGCATTAGCTTGTACTCTACATGCTATTTTAATATGTATGGTAAAGTTTTTGGCTCTTCCTGAGTAATTTGTAATCATAATATACTACCTAAAAGTAATACTTCAAAATAAGTTATTCACCTGTTGATAGAAGCCAACTTAATTGTACTTTGAATCAAAAAATTAAACTTTATAATATCTCATAAGATAAAAGGCAAAGTGTGTGATACTTTGTAAAGGAACCATTGAAAAGTGCTTAATAATTAAATACCATTTTCATCTATATAATAAGCCAAGACAAAACAAATGATACAGTTAAAGGTAAGGATATGGTGTAACGGGCTTCATAGCCATCACTCATGGCAGGTTTAAATAGTATAACTCTTCGTGAAAGCAATTTGGCAACTTAAATCAAGGGTCTTGAAATGTTCACACCCTTTGGCCAAATAATTTCACTTATGGGAATTCGTCTTAATAAAATAATCCTAAATACCCACATACAATACCCAGAATATTTGTTAAAGTATATTTATTACAGTGAAAAAATTAAAACTGAAAAACCTAACATTCAAGGAATAATTCTGTAAATTACGGTACTTCCTTTCTTTCAGCATTTTACTGAGACATTATATACTGCTAGAACTTCCAAGGTCTGAATGGCTCCTGCCAGAAAGCAGGCACCCAGTACATATTTGTGAAATGAATAAATGTTGGTAGAATTATGGGTATTTTCCCCCCATACTTTTTTCTATTTCCCACATTTTCTTTAATGAGCATCATTTTTAATATGAAAAAATAAACACTATAAAAATAAACAAAAACCCTTCAATTTATAAACTTCAAAGTTATAAAAGTTTCTCAGGCATTCATAATGCTTGCCAATATTTCCCCCATACCCAATTAGCAAAGTCCAGGGTTTCTTAATTTTGTTGGATTATAAGCAGATCATGTCTCTTTATAGAATCTAGCACTGTGTTCTATTTAATTAACAAATGATACCTAGCTGACCAGAGAAGGAAACGCAAATACTTTCCTAGATCCAAAACTCAAGATATTATTTACAAACACAACTTTATAAACTCAACCCAAAAAAATATTGATAGGAGAGGAAATACTTACCAAGTCCTTTCTAGCACAAGTGAGTATACTAATTTTTAATTTTGTTTCTAAATTAACCACACAAAAAATGGTCCCCAAGTAACCTAAAAGGGGTTTACAAGCTTCTTTAAGAAGTATCGAAGGTCTAAATCTTTTTGAGATCTATTGCAATATTACTCTTCAACAAGACCACTAAAATCTCACTATTGTGAAATTCCAACTATGTGAAAACCAATTAAGAATCTAGGAATGAGCAAGAAAGGCCTCCAAACAGACAAAGGAAATGTCACAAAGGCCATATACTAAAGTTCTTAATTTGGGGAGAATTTCTGAAAATCCTTTTAATTCAGTCTTTCTTTTCTTCTTTTAGAGAAATTCCAACAATGTTTGTAATCTGTTTTCTCAGTTTGCATCAAATTAGACCATTAACGTGTAGTACAGGCAGGAAAAGGGAGAGGGGAAAAAGTAAAAGCAAGCATGATAATACTGGCAAGGAGTAAAAACCTGAAGAAACAATGCCAAAAAACAATAAAAAGTGGAAAGACAGACTCAAAGAAGCCTAACAATCTGGGATTATTTTATCTTTTCAGACACCAGTGAAGCACACTGTATATTGTTTGGTGCTGCTACATAAGGATAACCCTAGGTCATTAAATAGAAAAATGTTATATTTGTTCAAGTAAGTTCAGAAAGGCATTGGAGTTTAAAATTCATTTTTTTGGTTCAATGTGAAGAGTTGTAAAAAATAAACCACCTACTTCATGGTCCTTTTCTTCATATTCTGGAATACAAGGGTATGTGTAAATATTTACAAATTCAGGTGCTAAGAGTTTTGCGTGTATAGCAGTACTTTTGCCATCTGTTTCATTTGGATGTTTAATGATGTCAATCTTCAGTGGAAGCTAAAATTGAAAAAAAGACAAATGAACAAAGAAAATATAAAAATTCCTATTTTTATGTTAATAAAAATGGTCTTTAAAGTTTAAATAGCAAGTGCACATTACATTCCTACAAATATACTTCTGGTTTGAAAGTCATACTTTTCTAAACCAGAATATTAAGAATGATAGGAGTCATCAAGTAAACCAAATTTCTTCAATATTATTAATTATGCTATAGAACAACTATTTTCAACTCATTTAACATAGAATCTGCTCTTAAAGCAAAGCTAATGTCATTTTCATTTAAGTTGCACAGGCATTCAGTCCAACTCCTTGCATTTCAGTATTTGTGCCAAGAACATTTTTTATAATTCCTATAAACTTTAGGAATTTTAACACCTTAGGTTTGTTAATTTTATGATATACTTAAAGGAAATAAAAGTTTGGGCAAAGCTTCAGGTCTAAAATTCAAGGTAAAATTTTGTTCCTTGCACATCTTTTGATGTCAAAGGTATTATCCTTAGTAGTGAACATCATGATTCTCGGACGTGGCCTTTAACAGCATAAATGAAATCATTATTAGTTGAAAAATCAATAACAGAATACGTCTGGGAGGTACACTCTTTATATGAAAAATAACTCTTTTCAAAATCACTTTGCCTATTTCCCTTAAAGTTTCATTATTTAATTGTTATGGATTTTGTCTTGCCTCTATGCAACCATAGTATTTTCTTGCATTTCTTCAGTTAGATTTTTCTATTATTTCACTGATGTGTTTGGTTTAGTTTTCTGTACAATGCCTGTGCAAGTCCTGCATTAGCCATGATTATGAAAATGAAAACCAAGTCATAGCTCCCCCACTATATATAAGAAACTGTCTCATATTTACTTGTTATGATAATCACTCTTTCCAATTCCCATACTACTCTAAACAGGCAGGATTCTAGGTATTTACCCTGGAATACAAAACTATTTTTCTTGTTTTTTTAAAACAACTTTATTAAAGAGAAAAAAATTGATAAAATAAACTGCACACATTTACAGTGGACAATCGAATGAGTTTTAACATATGTTACACACTTGAACTCATTACCACGATCAAGATTAATGACATCCATCACCCTCAAGTCTTCTTGTGCCCCCCCTCCTTCCCTTTCCCCATCAACTACCACCCACAGTCCTTAGGCAGCCACTGATCTGCTATCACTGTAGATTAGTCTGTATTTTCTAGGTTTCTATATAAATGAAATCATACAGTATGTACTCTTTTCATCTAACTTCCTTCACAAAATAATTATTCTGAGATTCATCCATGTTGTTGTATCATTAATTCCAGAGCTATTTTTTAAAAGAGCAGTTGCTGCATGCTACTAAATGATCTCAATTGCATACATTTTGTCTTTCTGGATGATTATGTGCAAAGAGGACAGTATATACCTTAAAAGGGCCATAAATATGTATCCCAAATAGTTTTCAATTTAGGGTTTCAAACCCTAGGTCTCCTACCTTCCCCCCTTAGGCCTAGTGATCATTAATAAGTTATGGCCAATTGCTTCCAATCACCAAGCCAACCTCTAGTTAGAGAAAATTTACCATTTAAGTAGGCAGTTCACAAATGATTTTATATCACTCTAGTTCTGGCTGAACTCTACATCAGAATTCCCTCATGATGCTCAGTCTTAGTTGAACTATATTCCCTTTTTCCAGGGTGTTTCAGTACCAGGTCAGCATTAGCTTAGACCAGGGAAGGTAGGAAAGAGAAAAGAAGAAAAAGCAAGCAGATCACGACAAAGTATTCTATTACTAATAACATCAGTTTTCTTATATGGCTGATAAGTAGAGCTGAAAATTCCAAAGGTAAACACGAACATTTCTGATCAGATGGCTATCTTTGAAGGATCATTTATATTGAGGACACAGGACTGTTATTAATGTATTTTACAAATCATGCACCTAGCCTATTATAAACTAAAATCTATAAGTATAAGACAATTACACAAAATTTGTGCCCAAGGAGTATTCCTGGGACCCAGTCCAGGTCTCTTTAGTTCTCTGTGAGTTAAATTGGGAATATCTGATACTATGAAACAAAAATACAGACACAGAACAAATCATGGAAATGTATGTTTGTACTCTAGTTCACACATTTTAAAGGAAAATGCTTCTTAAATAATGACAGGCTAACACCAGTAGAGTTGACCAGATGCAGTTCATGTAGAGATGTTCTATTTTCAAACATGTAAAGAACATCCATCTGTTCTCTAACACCTGTGTCTCCTGTAAGAGATTTACCACAAAACTTTCTGCACAAATTTATCAAAATGCCATTAGCAGGAAGCCCTAAGCCTTTCCCCATGTGATTATCAACTTGCTCAAAGACAGCCTTTTAAATTCTAGGACTCTAGTAAAAATGAAGCTTTCTTTTACCTTATGATTTTTTTCCTCTTTAAAAAAACAAATACCAAGGGCACCTTTTAAAATTGCTTATTCATTTCTCAGGACATAAAAAAAAAAATCACATTCCGCATAAAGATAGGTATTTATGAATTTATTCCCTAGACTAAAATTTAAAGCTTGGGAAGTACTTACTCATTAAGTAGTCATCTTCCCTTCCCAAGTAGGCTATCTAAAAGCAAATGCTAAATGATTTGTAAAAATAAAAATAAAGTAAAAATTAGAAAAATTTGTTGTTTTTATTATTATTAATATATATTAACGTATCTTTATATATGGCCTTTAAAATATAAACCCTTAAGGAAATCTCTACACAGATCAATAGGCCATTTAGAGTTGATCGAATACTGACTTCGTAATTTGAGTCATTTCTATCAAATAGTGGACATTAGACCGCTGATTTAGAAAATAATCCTCTATTATTAAATTTCTATGAAAATATTAGCCCTGTCAATATATTATTGACTTTATTATTCTGACCTTCAATTTTTTCAAACACACACATCTTAAGATAAAATTTTAATAGGATGCTTTCTTTATGTGGCTATGATATAAATAGAAGATAGAATAATTCTGTATGTACTTCAAAAGCCATACTTTGAAATTGTGACATCTTTATAAGATAATGGGAAACTTAAAAAAAGATTTACTGTTCTCAAGTTCTTATTTTTTCTGAAGTAACCAGAAAGCTAATTAGAGTCCATGATTACTTATTCTTGGCCTGTAAACTTTCCAATAGCTGGTAAGTGTCATTTTTATACCCATGAGAAGACCATGGACTTGCCAAGATGATATACAGGCTGAACAAAATTCAAGGAACAAAATATGAGTATTAAAGAATTTTTCTTTATTCAAATTTAAAGAAACTTAAAATAATATTAAATGTTTTTAAATATAGTTATGATATTCTTGCTGACCAGTACTAATGAGTCCATTTGTAGAGTTTAGTCTCACTAAAATCCTAATAGGCAGCAGTCAAATTTTATGCATTATTTGATTTATTCCTAAACTTTGGGTCACTACTAGACAAGTTAATATATATGCAATAAATTATTTGATTATGTAGACATGACTGTTTACAGGCCTTATGACTATACACGAGTAGTCTTGGTGAGCAACAAAAGTATTAAGTAAGCAATTAATTCAAATCAATTTTTAAAATCAGGCTTTATAGCACTACAGTTATAACATGGACCAATAAGCAGGTCTTAAGTCTTTTCAATTTTCATTTAGTTTTGTTTTGGTCACTGACATGTGCTCCATCTCGACATATAGGATGGGGCTAAGCCATTTTACAAAAGCCTAAGCAAAAATCAACCCTCGCTCCTTCAGAATGTGTGTTCTCAAAGTGCACTCCAAGGACTGGAGGTAGTTTTTGAAGCTCCTTCAGGCAGTCTATAAACTTTTCTGTTGTTGCATTAACGTTTATATCATATTTTTTATATGTGGTAAATGAATTATAATCGCTAATAAAAAAGTAATTGATTTCATTAAAAACAATACCATTCATCTCAGACTCCAAGTATTTTGGCAATGTGTCTCCTTTTCCAGGGACAAGAAAACAAATAGGTTTACCAGTCAATAGGATTAAATTTTCTATTAATATAAATCATTTTTATAATGATATTATTTATCAACCTTACCAATTATAGAACAGGCATATATGAGACATCTTTTTAAAATCTACTTTCCTACTTTCAAACAATTAAATTTCTTACCAACCTTCACAATTGGCATCTGTTCAATGGGTACATTTTCAACTGGGACATAACATGTATAGCAGTAGAACATTCTTGAACCACCACATTTAAGACATTTTGATCTTCCACTTCGCTGAGCTTTTTGAAGAACTTCTTGAGATGCTAAGCATAAGTTTTGAAGAGGATCTTCTGCAGCTATAGAAGTAGTTTGTGACTGCTGTATTTCCACACATTTTGAATTATTTTCTTCCCTTTCTTTGAGAAATACAGGTGGACTGAGAGACATTTTTCATTCAAACCAAAGTTTAACACCTATTCCTAAAACACGTAACAGGGGTGCACTGGAAAAAAAAAGGGAGGGGGCAAAATAAAAACAAAACATTTTACTCACTGTCTCCACAAAGAAATTACTCACTTTAATAAACAACTGTGTGCTCTTTTTAGTATTTATTAACAAAAGTTGACAAGTTTTTTAAGCCACTAAATTAGCATACTTTAAAATACAAAATTAAGATGCAATAAACTCAAAACAACAAAGTACCCTTTTGGACCATTCCCTCCATAAAAATAGAAAGGTGCTCTATTAGAAAATTATTTCAAATATAAAGTTTAGGTACCAACAATCCATTTTTCAGTGACTCTTTTTGTTCCAAAGATAGCAATTTTGTTTTATATTAGAAAAATAATGGCTTAATGTTAGTATCAGCCAGGAATATATTCAACCTTGTAGGCTCTGACTTTGAATTGATATCACATGACATCTAATCTGAAACTGAACTTTAATGAAAATATAAGGTTCCAGTAAAATCAGTAAAATTTAGTTGGTTATGTTCTAAAAGTTATATTCCTCTACAACTTAAATTAAAACACACATAAAAAATATAACTAAATATCCATTAAAATATAAGATGCATCTACTTCCAATTATAATTTGTAAAATATTCCGAAAGGTGAAATATATACCCAGAAAAATAAAGTGTGATCTTATAAATTTAAAATTTTACAAAGTAACATTAATGCTCCACTCATTCTAAGAATCCCTACTGCTTTTTAAATACATACACCATTCAGATTCTTAGTTCTAGAGATAAGATAGTAAAATAACTTTCCCACTTAAGTATTTCCATCAAAGAAGGATGATGGCTGCCAAAAGTGTTATTCAAACACTCTGTAAGCACATCTTTGGGGGGAGGGGGGAAGGCGGGCAATAGGCTGGGGTCCTTTGATTTGATATGCATTCCAAAGCTGTAAAACGATTCTCTTATTAAAAAGCTTTACAGCATTGTGGTGTTTTACTATGAGGCTCCCGGCACTTTGATGACAAACACACAGGCCAAACACTGTGACTGCAACAAGAAACTTTCTGTGGTCTCCCAAATAGAAAATTAACAAAAAGTCCAATGGAACATAATATACAAGATAACTTTCTAACAAGAAGTTAGTGATATTAATTTAATTACTCATCAGGAGCTTTTAAAGATTGTAAATCCCAGTGAGCTTGACACCCAAAAAAGAAATGCAAAGAAAAACGATGCTGGTCATTGAAAGAAAAGTAAAATATACTTGCCAAATTCACCCAAGGGGAAAATCAAAATACTATACAATAAATATTTTTTATGTATACTATCAGACACAGGTTTACATTTTGGGTTTCTCAGAGAAAGTGCTACTTCAGAATGATTGTCCAATCACTTCTTCCTGCCTCACAAATGGAAAACATCTACTTCTGACCCCCATATCAAGTCACCTAACTAAAAAGGGCTTCTATTGTATCTTTGTGAATATGCCCTCAATGACCAGAAGAGTGCAGGGTATTACACTGCCACCTTTTCTTGAGTTTCAGATCCTTTTAAGATCACATAAGAGTCTTGGGCCTTATCTGTAGAAAATGCATATACGCACACAATATTTTGCTCACAGTTTCAAGTGGTTTGCATATCTCTAGAGCCCATCTACAGATCCAGGCAAAGAAATCCTAAGATAAAAAAGTTATTCTAAGGACAGGAGCAGCCTTAAAAGTCTGGGAGGAGATCCTATCAATCTTCAGAAATTGGGGCTACAACTATTGGCCAATCAAAGGTCAATTGTCATAGCCATTAGAGATCTCATCATTGCACTTACAAAGCTAATTATGTTTCACCTAAATCCTCTTGGTTTGGGTTTGTTTTAGTATTGCCTGAGATCCTTACAGAGAAACACTTTCAAGCTGTAATAGTCTTGAGTTACCTAGATCACCGGGCTCATCCTAAAAAAGAAACTGGACGAGACTAATTCAACCTGACTCCATTTCCCTGGGTGTTCAATGGAAAACTACTGGGGAGTTTTTCTAGGGCTCTCAAAATGCATTCCTCCTGAAAAGCCTCCTAAATATCCCCTTATACTTGGGCTTCCATCCATATAACTAAATGGATACTAGTAAAGCCTTATATAAATATCATTTCTCTACAAAATCAACATAAAAACCTGTGAGACAGTGAAAGGGAAATGGTTATGGCTCCCTCCCCTGCCTCACCCA